GTACAAAGTATTAGATAAATTTTAGGAAGTGTGTTCAATACTTTTTCCCTGTGCCATTCCACATTATTACAAATAACTTCCGACATCTGGTGAAAATTTCATGTCATTAGCTCCTCTAGTAATATATTTACTGAGAAAAATGGTGACATGTTCAATACTTATTTTACCTGCTGTAAATGCATGTTCACATAAAAGGCAAAACAAAAATATCTATATTTTTCAAAACAGTAAAATGTAAATTATGTGCTGAAATATAAAATTTATAGGAACTAAGCTGCAAAAATAAATATGAATGTCAATTATATAATAAAACATGAGGTATAGTTCTCCTTTGTTAATTTAATTGGTCAATTTTAAGTGAATTTCTTTATTTATTGGTCCTTTTCTATGTGTCTGCTTTTTATTTCTAATTATGTCAGTTTTGATCCTCCATACTATTCTGCTTGCATGGGTTTAAATAAATTTTAGTATTAGAAWTGGTGCATTCAAAAGAGATCAGTTTTACAAAAGGAAATGTTCTATCTTCAACTAGGACATGACATGACGGAGCAGTGTCTTTGAGGAAACGGCAGTAGACATCTACGTCAGCACAGGGACACCAGGCAGTGACTTTTCTGATGTTGGCATCGTCTCGAGTGTCGTGGTTCTTCAGGACCTGGACTATGTGACCCTTGCAATAGCCATGCTGTTTGGACATTTTATTTTACTTCTTGAACATGGGTTACTCATCACAGCTCTGCTACTCATTTGAGATGATTCAAAAGCAGCAGGGAGCTGGATGTGACTGAACTCTTGAGGACAAAAATTTGAAAACAAAACTGCTCCCATAAGGAAAGCTGACTGTTTTTGTACAGGTGAAAAGACTTTAAACCTCACTCTTGCTCTCCTGCATTTTGGAGGTTGAATTTCCAGGTGAACAATCAGCAATCTCAAACATATCACAGTGTTATTGRTGAGAATTTATATTAATGAGTCTGTAACTGCCATGTACATTATGTACAATTTCTGATTGGCAGCATTCTTCAAATACAGTTTGTATCTTTAGTGAAGAGATGGAAAGTTGTGCAGTTTAAATGGTAAATGGACTGAACTTATACAGCGTTTTTTCAGGTCCCTCTGGACCCCAAAGTGCTTTACACTTAAAGACATTCACCCATTTACACTCACATTCACATTCACACACTGATGATTGTAAGCTACACTGTAGCCACAGCTGTCCTGGAGCACACTGACAGAGGTGGGGCTGCCATGCACCGGAGCCACCGGACCCTCTGACCACCATCAGTAGGTAAGATGGGTGAAGTGTCTTGCCCAAGGATACAATGACTGAAAGGGCTGGATGAGGGATCAAACTAGAGCTGCCACGATTAATCGATTAATCGACGACTAATCGATTGTTAAAATAATCGATGACTAATTTAATAATCGATTAATCTTTTTCTTTTTTTTTGTTCTTTACTTTGTTTTTCTCTCCAAACTGCTTTGACACCTTCCACTGCCACGTCTGCCTTTCTGTCCTTGACACACATGCACAGTAGTGGTAACTGGGGTAGGCCGTGGACGTCACAAGACATTTTACAGACAGGCTCTGGTATGTACCTCAAAAATGTGGGAACTTTTTAAGAAAATGAAAGAGAAACCTGTGCAATATCTGCAGAGCAGAACTTGCC